CTATAAAAGATGAAATAAGTACTATGTGTAGTAATCAAATAATTTATAAACAATCAGGATTTATACAAGATATGATTTGTTGTAGAGATACAGAAGTATCAGGAAATTGTGGATGTTATGATTATAAACAAAAAAGAAAAATAAAACCTAAGAAATTTAAAAAAAATATAATAAGTTTAAAAATATATTTTTTAAACCAAAAAAGAGATATTTTAAAAGAAAAAATAAATCTTATAATAAAAAACCACTAGATAAGAAACGATGTAAATGTTGGAATTGTAATGAAGAATGACATATAAGTACCGAATGTCCAAAAAAGAAAGTTATGATATTAATTACATATTTTGATCTGATTAGAGATGAATATGAAGAAGTTAATTTTGAAGAAATAGAAATTTATGAAATTTTTTTTTGATGAAGAAATATATAGTGAAGACGAGTAAAAATAGTTAAAATTAGTTTTTAAAATTATTTTAAAACTTGAGGATATGTTTTGCAAATAAAAACTCATTTCATTAAGGGTAAAATTGACTTTTTAACGAAAGACCTAAAATCTTTAAGTTGACCAGCCATTTATGAAAACCTTTCAAATCCATCCTAATTAAAATCAAAAGTCAATTAAACTTAAATACTATCCTTGTCAAAATCAAACCGATTGAACATAACCAATCCAATTGAACACAATATCCAACCCAATTGAACTTAATATCTATCCCAATTAGTGTCCATAACCGTTGCTATTGTTTTGGGTCAGTAAATACATAAAATATTGGGAAAATTGTAGCCACGATACCAAATCTTTCACTTTTTGCAGACTTTGTCCAAACCTTTGTTTTGTGCCACCCACGGTATTAAACCTTTAAACAATTCGCACCGGAGATCCGCATGGACAGTTTCCGTCCAATTGACCGTTAGTTGACCAAAAAAGTCAAAATTGACGAATTGTTGACTAATTTTTAAAGGGTAAAATTGTAACTTTCCCCTTTTCATATATAATTTTAAAAAAACTAAAATCAAATAATTAAATCAAAAACCAAAAAGTTAAAATAAAAGAATAAAAAAAACAAAATTACTGTTCATCTTCTTCCCCACCCCACCCCTTCTTCAACAAACAGCTTGATGCAATTTTGTTGAACAACAATCAGTTCGATTCAGAGCTTCCTCAGAATTTAGGTAACTCTCCAGCTTCTGTTATCAATTTGGCTAACAACAAATTCAGTGGGAACCTTCCTTTCAGTTTAAGCTACATGGGATCTCGAGTAAAGGAAATCTTGTTCCTCAATAATCAACTCTCAGGTTGCATCCCAGAAGGGGTTGGATTATGGAGTGATTTACAAGTTCTTGATGTGAGTTCAAATTCATTGATGGGTCGTTTGCCTGATTTCATATCATGTTTGAGCCAAATTGAAGTCTTGAATTTAGCAAACAATAAGCTCTCTCGGGAATTACCAGATGAACAGTGGTTTGGTTTTTTTTTATTCTTTTATTTTAATTTTTGGTTTTTGATTTTAGTTTTTTTTAATTATATATGAAAAAGATAAAGTTACAATTTTGCACTTTAAAAATTAGTCAACTGTTGGTCAATTTTGACTTTTTTGGTCAACTAATGGTCAATTGGACGGAAACTGTCCATGCGGACCTCCAATGCGAATTATTTAAATGTTTGGTACCGTGGATGGTACAAAAAAAGGTTTGGACAAAGCCTGCAAAAAAGTGAAAGATTTGGTACCGTGACTACAATTTTTTCTAAAATATATGTTTGTTATTTATTTCTTTGATTAAATTCGTGTACCATTTATATTAAGTTCATGCATTAAGGTAATCAGAAGGTTACAAGGTTAATTGGCTCATAAAAACAATAAAGAATCACATAGGTTGCTATACTTTTATATTGTGAACGTTAGGATATAGTTTTGTTAGTCTGATTTTGATGCTGAACTATTGTTTTTGCTAGTAATTCTCTCTTGCTAATGTGTAATGTCCGATGGCTTATTAATGTTGCTGACTTGCTAATGTCCTGATGGCTTATACAATTTGTGATATGAGACTGTGACTCTGTAATTGAGATGATAAACTATATAATATTGTGACATTGATATATTTAATTAATTATTTCATAAATAAAACTTAATTAATTCTTGATCTTTGAAATAATAAACATTATTTCTTAATTTTGAAATGGATCATACTTAGCCATTGTTTAATCCTCATTATTTTTAAAATATAATTTTCTCTATTTTCTTTTCATTCACACAATTTTCAATAAAACTAGTGTGCAAACGTGCGTTGCACGTTAATTGGATGCTGTTAAAAATAAGTGTGTAACAAAATAAAGTATAAGCCTTGATATACATATTATATTTACGAAACCAATTCGAGGATTGTTATCAGATGCAATCTATTCACATGGTTTATATTTAAAAATATATATAGTATCTTGATTCAACTTTGAAAATAAGAAAAATTGTATTTGACATGTAACATTAATCTAATATAACAAAATTGTTAACTAATTCAAAAATGAAAATAACCTTAACTATTAGCTCATCAGTGAATATGTATTTGAGAAGAGGAAAAATTGTACTTGAGAAACTTTTGCAGATTGAGTAAAACACCAAAACTGATGAATATCAGCTCAAAGGATAACATTAATTATAATTAGTACAATGACATTAAAGCACACATAGGCAGCGCCATCGTAGGGTTCGGGGCAATGCCCTCGACGGTGATCGACGTGATCGGTGAGGTCGCATGGGTTGAGGGGGCGCGCCCCTCGTGGGGGTTCGGGAGCAACGCCCCCGGCGGTGATTAACCTGATCGATTAGGCCGCGTGGGTCGAGGGAGCAGTGCCCCTCGTGGGCGTTGCCCCCGGCAGTGATTTTCATGTATGGAATGAAGTTGTGTTTTTTAGTGGGGTTAGAAAATGTGATAAGATGGTTTATCACTTTTATATATTGAATATATAGAAAAAATTTTATATACATCTTATTACAATATAGTTTTCGCAACAATTTACAGTTATAATATAATCCAATTAAAAATAGAAAGAGAAAAAAAATTCTACACACCCTCTTCAATTGACCCATCTTATTTCATGTCTCTCTCCTCAACCTAATTATTTTGGGACAATTTTAGAAAATGTATTTCATTGTTAAAAAAAAAAAAATTGTCTCCGTGCGTGTGGCACAGAGACACAAGGTCGTGTCTCCGTGGCGCAAACAGAGACAAAGTTTCACATGTCATTGTCACTTTATTCTCATGCCTCCGTGCCATTCGGGTCTCTGTCACTTTGGGGTACCCCAACTTTGTCCAATCACTACATGACTCCCTTCACCAATTGAAACAATCAAAACTTTAGTCAGCTACAATGTTGATAAACCAGAGAAAGACAACTTAAAGTAGAGATAAAAAGTAAAAAAAATTGACAAGAAAAAAATTAAATCAACGTGAAAACTAAATAGAAACATGAAAAAATAGATACAGTGTATATATATTAAAATTAATTGTCATTACAAGGAGCAGTAGCAGGATCATTGATGTACCTTCGGCCCATGGTAACTTTAACTGCCTCAACAAGCTCTTCAACACCCTTGAGCATTAGAGCTCTGGCCTCCATTCCAAATTTAATGTGCACAGTTTCTGCTCCAAACCAAACTGCTACCAATCTGCATTAAACCCAACAAAACACTATATTAGCTACATAATTTATTATATGAAAACATTAAATTTATCCATAGAAGGTCAAACATGCCGGTAAAATTCAATTCCAACAATCACCAATTAAATTAACTAAAAATTCAAAAATACGTAGTTAAATTGAGTTTAAGAATGACAATAGATTGATGGTAATAGAAACTACCTTCACAGCAAAAAATTGAAAACTATTGAAAAAAAAAAATTGGCATTAAAATACCTTATTTCAATCACTATTTTGAGCAATCTCTTTCTCAATCTTAGACGCTTCGAATCTTGTAAAAACAAGGTTGGTTGACAAAATTAGAGGAGAGAAGAATAGAAAGAGAAAACGGAAACATAACAACCCATAACCTGAAAATATAATCCAAATCTGAGGTGTATTCCATGGGAGGTTGTGTGGGAAAATGGAGAAGGAGTGGTAGGTTGCGTGAGATAATGGAGAAGTAGACGGCGGTGCGGGAACTTTTGATGAATTTCAGGGGATTTTTTTTTTTTAAAATGGGGATTTTTGACGACGATGGGAAATGGCGACATGTGTGACCCTTACTTTGACTCTTTTAATATATAGCGATAATATTACACGCAAATTCAATTTTTTTTATTTTTTAACTACACATTCTCCATCAATTTACTATTCCAAAATACATTCTTACAATAAAAAGGAGGCTCAAACAAGCTTTTAACCTCTTAGATATAAAATTTTCATCAGTCTTAAACTATAGATGATTATAGTTACAAAACAAAGATTTAACAAAAGAAACCCTAATTTACCTACAAGTTTTGAAATATACAAATTCAAACGATTTTTTTTTAAAAAAAAATAAATGAAATTGGCAATTATTGGGAATTTCAATCTTACAATGAATTTCTCAATGTTGCACCATCTACTTCATAAACTACGTGTTACTCTCATAAATATATGCAATCAAATTAAGTCGTACAATTAGAATGTATTATTTTATAACATAAAAATACGATCGAATTTAGCAATCAATAATCAAAACTAATTTAGTTAAACCCTGATTAAACCCCGTCGTCTTCATCAACAAACCAGCGCATAGTACTTCCATGACTTCCGATGGGTTATCGCGTAAGAAGCAGAAGACAGGCAACTACAGTCTCTCCGTCCTGAAAACCTTAGGCCAACAGCTCCTTTCCTCGAGAGCGCACGTCAACAATCTACCCATTCTCCTCTCTTTCATCAGCCCCTCATCTCCTCCACACTACGCCCTCGAATCTCTCCTCTCGTTGCAGTCGTTTTTCATTCCTCTGCTCCCGGAACTCCCTTCGTCTGCTTTCTCCACGAAGTCCAATGTCTCGAATCCGGACCCGGAATTCATCTACCGCATGTGGCTCCGCTCCAAGTTCGATGACCTCGTTCAGTTCCTCATCAACGTCGCTATTTCATCCCAATCAGAGGATACTCTTCGTGTATGAGATTAATATACCTTTTTGTTCTCATCAAATTTTCTACTGTTTCCCTAAATGCCTTCCACGTGTTCCAACTACGGGTTTTTATCGCTAAATTGTAATCATGATGAATTTTGAACAGGAGGTTGTTCTGGACACAATAATGGAGTTTGTCAAAGTGGGTAATAGAGGAAAGTTTCATTCTGCTATTTATCACAAGCTTCTTCATTCCATCGTAAGTAATAATTTTTAAATTTAATCTGCCTGTTGCTATAATTTTATTATGTGTCAAGACTGGTGACACTGGAGCCTGGTTAGTGCCACTGCGAAGTTGTTTTGCAAAAGGACTGCTCTTTTTGTAGGGACTAGAAAGACATTGTATTGAGCGAGAGTTGAACATTAGCATAATCAGAGAGCCCTTATCATTTTACTGTTGAATCTTTCATACTAGTAGTTCATCCTAGGTAAATAGGGATAAAGCATTGATGAATTATGTTGAGTATAAACACCTATTATTAGAAATAATTTCCATGAGTGCACACCTTAAGTGTTGGTAATTTGTCTAAGCGGATCTATGCTTCTTCTTGATCTTTAGGTGACAAACATATAAATATTTGGCCGCCCATTATTTTAAATGGTATAATTGTGCGTTGATGTACTGTTTACAAGTTATGACGAGTGAAGCTGATAGTATGTATTTAAGTTTATGCACTATTTTTCATTTAGTTTGATTCTATTAATATCAATTGTAGCAGCATTTCTAATTGGATTTCTTCAAGTTTTCCCCTTCTCTATTCTGGAAAACCAAATAACGGGAGATAAAATTTATTCTCTTCATGTATATGATTAATATAATCGGATAGTTTTTGTCTGTATTGTCAAATGGGTTATAATAGCCAAGTTTTATACCTAGGGTAATTATGCTTTGTGGTATTAAGTGTTGGTCACGAAGTGAAGTTTAGGGACAAGGTCGTGGCTTACTTCCTTTTTAGGAGGAGCTTATGCTTGTTGGGTATTTCAGTTTGACATCACTTCACACCCAAAACAAAAAGAAGGGAGCTACATGAAATGTCCATTAGATGAGTGAAGTGAGGATGTCATGATAGACTTTTGATAATGTCCATTAGATGAGCCATTCTTTTAGCATAGAAGTGACATAGCATTCTTGGGGTTCAACTTTCTCTCTCTTCCATTAAATAGTATTGTGGTGCATTTTTGATTGTTAGCATAGAAGCTACTTGCTGTACCAGGTGTTTTTCTTCATTTATTTTTGTTTTGCTTTTCCTGGGGTTGTAGTGGGTTTGAGGAGTTTTGAGGATTTTGATAAGTGTATGTTTACATTGTTCACGCACTTTAAACTGCCCTGGTTGTTGAGAATACTCTGCTTTTATTATATAAAAATGCTGCTAGTTCTAGATTGAAGCAACAAAGTTCGTTGTCAATTTGTCTCAAGGATAGGGATGGCAACGGGGTGGGTTGACATTCCCCGCACCCTACCTCGTTGGGGATTTTATTGCCTCGTTTGGAAATTTTTTTCCCTATAAACTATATTAGGTATTTGAATATTAAATTGTTATTTTAATTTATACAAATACTAAATAACTAAAAATATAAAAATTGGACTAATGGCCCATCCAAATATATAAAGTCCATTATTTACTTAATGATAAGTCCTTTAATAGACTTATATTCAACACATTTACATTAAAAATCCGGTGTGGGATTCCTTTCATGTTTTTATACTCAAAGTATTGGAGCTTTAATAATGGATTCCTTTTATCTCATTTCAAAATATTTCAATCATAATAGAGAAGGAATGTCTATAAGGGGAAGGTTGATTCCCATTTTTCCCAAAATACATTTTTCTCTTTCTTCTTTTCAACCACACATTTTTCAATTAAATAATATTAGACGCAAATCAAAAGCTTTTCCTTCTTTTTTAAAAACACATTTTTCATCGATCTACTATTCCAAAATATATTCTTAAAAAATAATGGGGCTCAAACACCCCCTAAATAATGTAGTTATTTTTTTTCTCAATTATTCAAGTATTTATTTTTCAAAATGAATAATATATATGTGTGTTTGGCAAGGACAATTCAACTAGATTTGAATTGAGGCAAATTGACAAATTGAAGTTTTTGGAAATCGTGTCTGAGACTTGCACCATTGTGTTTGTAGCATGGAACTTTCTATTCACAAGATACATAATTTGCTATCTCATATTCCTGCTCCAGAAGCTTCAGTTGAAAATTCAGAGTACGAAATGTGGAATGACTTGGGTAATATCTTTTGATTTTCTCCTTGTTGCTAAATCTCACATTTCATTGTCTCTTAGATTATATTTCATCATCATTTTACTACTAGTTGTATGTAACACACTATTTCTTGTATTTAAATCATGAAAGAAAATATTGTGGTGAATGCAACTTCATCCACCTAAGTTTTAACCAAAAGGCTTGCATGATTATCGTTGTTGGTGTTTGGTCACACAAAAAATTTAGTTTGCAAGAATTAACTATATTGTGATATCTTTAGCAGTCAAGAACGGTAATTACACCTTGCTAATAATAATAGAAGACAATGGATAGTTTCCTTTTGATTGCTGCTGTAATTTGTGTTTTAACTATAATTAGTAAGTGTTTTTATAAGCAAATAGAAATGAGTGGTGAAATGGGTAGTCTTGCGGGTCCGACAAAATATGTCGATAAAAAGTGATTTTACTTGTGGGGATGCTCAGGAGATATTTCGTAAAGCACCAAGTTATCACATCGAAGAGAAGTCGGTCACTTGAGTAAGATCATACAGATAATTTTGATTGGAGATATTAGTCTCTGGGAGATCATTCAAGTATCTTAATATTTTGTATTTGTCTTTTAACAATTGGGTTTTCACTCAGATTTGATACATCATTTTCTCAAGAACAAGCTTAATGCTATAGGTTTTACCAAATATTTTCTATAATTTTCTTATAGCTTCTTGCTTGTCTTTCATCTTATCTCAGTAAACATGCTATATCTTTATTCGCTGCCTACGGCTTGAATTTGTTCTTATCTTTGTAAATCAGCCATTTTCATTGAAAAAAGCAACCACAAAGGATATATAGACCTGGAGGATAAACGGTCAAAATTGAAGAAGTCTAGTGATAAGGTATGTTCTAGTAAGAAATTTAATAAAAAATTTAATGCTCAGAAACACTGTCATTTTAATAAAGCAATGACAGCCTGCAGCTTATTGTCTTATAGGCACTAATATTTGGGTAATTTTCAGGTTTTATCAGAGTGCAATATTCCAAAGAAGATGAAACTGAAGTTTACTAAAGCATGGATATCATTTCTCCAATTGCCACTTCCTCTTGATGTATACAAGGAGGTAAAAACAAAAAAAAATTATCATTTGATTCATTTCATATTAAAATATGTGGTATCTGATTATGAATTTTTATCTAGATAAGATAATTATTTTTTAAATATTTTTGCACTCCCGTTGTACATATTCTGATACTTCTAGCTGTGTGGCTCTTCGTTCTGTAGTGGTGTCTAGCTACTGTTTTGTATTCTTCATTCTTGAAAGTTGAAAAAATAGCTTTTGCAAGAATAAATCAGCCTTTACATTTATTGATCTGGATTTGGTCTGTCATAAATAATTTGTTCTCTACATATTATGATTTTATACTCTTGGGGTAACTTTTTATTGTTGTGGAAGCTGACTTTCACTTCTTGCCTTTTTTATTTAAAAAAATTATATTTGAGCTCTAATTGTGGATTTGTTTATTTTATTTTTAAAATTTTTTTTTTTAAGCTGACCCCAAATTTATTGGAATGAGGTTTAATTTTGTTCATGTTTGGCAAAGCTCAAATTATAATTTAAGCTGGTGAGATATACTTTTTATCGACACATTCTGTAGGACCCTCAACTACTACCCATTTATTATCTACATACTATGTAGTACCTACAACTTATAATCACTTAAATTTTAATTTAAGCATTCCCAAGTGTGCTCTTTGTTGTATTTGAGTTCTAGTTAATCTACTTCTATTATGATTTTTCTCTTCACATACCTGCCATCTGATGATCAGGTTCTTGTTACACTTCATCAGAAAGTCATTCCTCACCTCTCTAAGCCAATCATGCTATGGTAAATTATGTAGTGATTTTGTAATTTATTCATATTTTGTTGATTAATCTTTCACACTTCGACAGCTATTTCATTTATTATTCTTAATCTCTGTAATTGAGGGAAACTAAAACAAATTCAACATGAAAGTCATGTAACCTAGTAGGCATAAGATCTAGGATATTTGATATGCCTGACTTTGATGGTATTGCTTTAGGTAACTTCTCAATTATGTTAATGTTACGTGTATCGGTTACATATGCGGTTACGATAGGGGACACAATACACTGTTCACAACTCTCAACTTTTGTGAAAATAGAGGAAAGAACTGCACTATATTTAAACAAACTCCTAAAGATTTTATAGCTCGTGACAAGTATGGTTTGATCGTGTCAGCACACTTCTCAAAAAGTCTTTCCACCTCACTAAATATAATAGAACCCTCCTTGTGTTTATTTTGAACACTATCCAAAAGAAGGGTAATCAAATTTAGAGGAATATTGTCACTTTCTTCTAATGTAAAGGTCATGATAGTCTCTATGGATATGAAGACATTACCTAAACGATTTCTGTTTAAAACTATGAGAAAGTGTTGGAACATGTCAATTATCATACGTTCACAATCTGGGTTCAACATGAATTTCGCATTTGCCATAGTATCTAGTATCCTAACTGCCGTAGCATACAAATTGATGGATATGCTCGTGAGAAATACAAATGATGATATCGAGGGAAAAATGTCTTGCATTATTTCATCAGAAAGGGGGATCGGGTGATGTGATGCGGAATATTTCACCGAGGCAAGAAACAACTGCTACTTGTATAGCAAAATCAGGATATCGTAATAGTTTATTCGAGACCAATGCTGTGCTAAGTGTATTAATAGATGTGAGCATGGAAACAACAAGCAATTGGTCCACTTGGGAAAGTAAATACTCAGTATATTCAAGTAACGATAGGAGCTCATTGAAAGGTAATGAAGATTGAAGAAGTTTCCTTCCATTTGTTAACAAGTGGACTTTTAACATTTGGTATTCACGCCATATCATTTTTTTTATTCTTAAAATTGACAAGTCAAAACACTAAAATAATACGTTCAATACAGTAAAATTGTCACCTCACGAGACTCAAAAGAGTCCAACAATACTCCAATCATTTTTTTCCATTTGGCACTGTTATGGTGGCAAGACAGCAACTGAATCGTTTGAGCAGCCGTCAAACAATAAGAATAAAAGTCACTGCAATTAGAAAATTCCGTCTCTTTATTTTTTTCACACTTTTTTCCACACTATTTTTTTTTTCACTTCTCTTTTTTGTTTTTTTTTTCACACATTTTTTCTCTTTTTTTTTAAACTAAAAGAAAATTACAAAATAAGAGGCCCACACCGAAGCCCAACGTACCAATAAAGCTACCCACAATTCAGGGATAGCAGGTCACACTGAGGCCAAACAAAAATAACAAATCAGACTTTTTTTTACTAAAAATAAAGAGGAAATTACAAATAAACAGGTGTTTAAGTTCTCCAATTCAAAAATCAGTGTGAGATTTATATAATAAAAAATCAGGTATTAATTAAATTATTAATAATATTATAAAATTTACCCACCTCAACCAAACCCTAAATTATTTCCCCCAAACTGAAAACCTTGAAGCCGAAATGAATCCCTCTCCCTCCCGCTCCCTTTCCCTCTCCCTCCCGCTCCATCAACGAGATTCGTGAGTGGCGGCGCTGCGATGTGGGTACGATTTTGGAGCGATGGCGCTGTTCGCGCTACTCGGCAACTGTAGCGGTGGCGATGTGGGTACGATTTTGGGGATGGGGATGGCGATGGCGTGGATGTGGTTTCTTCTTTCTGGTATGTCTTAAATGACTCTGCGTTCCAGTCGTCGCCACTGCGATGACGCCGTGCTCATAGATCTGTGCGCTATACTCGTCACTGTAGCCACTGTGACTTCATTATTCTTTCCTCCGATCTTTTGTGACCTGTTTTGGGTGTTGGCGGTGAGGTGCTGGTGGTGAAAATCTAGAGTTTTTTGGGATAGTTGGTGGTGGTTTGTTGGCAGTACTGGTGGGGTGGTGGTGGTCGACAACGGTGAAGATTGTGTTGGTGGTTGACGACGGTGGTGTGTGGACAAGGAGGTGGAAGTGGTTGTGGTGTTGAGGCGGTAGTGGTTCATTTCTGTGGTGGTTGTGTGTTTCCTATGGCGGCGGCGGTACGTTTCTGTTGGTGGTAGTGTGACGGTGCGGTCGAGATGGTGATGGTGATGGTGGTGCAGTGCATCTAGGTGGTGGTGTAGTGATTTATTTGTAGTGACTTTGTTGTTGGTAGTGTTGTAGTGCTGTGGCGGTGGTGGCCGGTGAGGGTGGTTGCAAGTGGCCGTGCTGGTAGTGTTGGAGAGGGTGGTCGAAAGTAGCCATAGTGGTAGTGG